CCACGGAGCAAACTCGACGCACCCCTGGTGTGATTCTCACCGCTCCTGGAGTTCTCTAGTGGGCCGGCTAGTCCAAGTGTCTCGGAGTGAGTGGCGGTATCTCTTCTAGAGTCCTGGGATTCCCGTACTCCTTTCTGGCTCTCTCTGAGCCCTCAGCCCAGAGACAAGCAGTGCAGGGGACAGGGGTGGCGAAAGGCTGCTTCTAGCTAGAGAAATGCAGCCCCCATGATCCCCCCCCCCAGCAGTTCCGAGGACTCCCTGAGGTATTAGGGATTCAGCAGCTGTGGGTCCATCAGCTCCTCCACTCAGCCTGATGCGCCAACCTGTGAAATTCTGCCAGCTTGGCATTCGGTGGGCCAAATTAAGCAGACTCACCCTAGACTCAGATGTGAAGCCCGGGGCACTTAGTGGGAAAGGCACAGGTTGCGTCGCTAGGAGGGAGGGCACAGCCCTTAGAAACTCAAGAGTCGCGAAAGGGAATGCGCAGGAAGCCTGGCCAGTGTTTGCTTTTGAGTTCTGAAAGAGCCCCATGAAGGTAAATACTCTCAGATGGCCAGACCGTGTCTTGAGGGCCTTGTGGAGGCTCTATGCAATGGAGGAGAGGTCCCTGCAGGCACCTGGTCCACCCGGTCGTGGGATCCTTCCTGGGCTTGCACAGTAGGTTGTCTATAGGTGACAATCATGTATGGTCTGTTTTGAGCAGCTGAAAGAGGACTTTGTTCTCTCGCCACAATGAAATGATCAGTGTTTGAGCTGTGGATGTGCCAGTTCCCCTGACCTGAACGTGACACAGTGTACAAACCTCACGTCGTGCCCCAGAAACACGTACAGCCGTTAGGTGTCCATTAAAACGAGGAGGGGGAGGGGGAGGGGGAGGGGGAGGAGGAGGAGGAGGGGGCTAAATCGTAAGAATTCTTCTATGAGGGAAACGTGACTTTAGCCACTCATTTCTGAAATACCGGCTTCCTCCATGTCCTCCCAAGCCTGAGCGCCTCAAGGACTTCTCCCGCGGACGGCGTGGAATCCTGCGCACGGGGAGCCCAGCGAGGCAGGGAGGGAGCCGGGGTCTCTCACTACGCGCTGCCTTTCAAATGAGTAAATAAATGCATCCTTTAGAACACGAAACAAAGGGGTACAGACTCCGACGCCCTGCAGGAGAGTTCTTGTGCGTACCCTGGACAGACTGATTCTGGGGTTTTTATTTCCTGCCTCAAATCCTGTCGAAACCACAGAAATGAAACACTGATTCCATTTTGTAAAATAACTCTATGAATTGGAAGGTGCAGTGGTATCTTTAGCTGGGCTCGGGTTACATGATTTCTTTTTGCGTTCACTGAGTTTCCTTAACCCTGGTGAATGAGAACAAAGACTGAGAGCGTGGCGCCCGATGCGGTGAATCTGCTCGCGCGTGTCCAGAGTCGACACGCCGACAGTGAGTGCCTCTGCCCAGACCGAGTCGGTGTGCGGGAGGACATTTCAGGAGAATTCTAAGTTCTGTTTGCACAAAGGCTCACTTGGCTGGAAGTCAGCAAAGGCAGCTTGCCAAGTGAACAGGGTCCAGGTGCAGTCACCTGTGCAGCCGCCCTCCAGTCCTTGTCCACACAGACAGGGTAGGAACTCTGACCTTTGCACGTGCTTTGGGGACTTTTCACTTAAGGTACCCTACGTGTTTTCTCTGCGGGGCCTGAACCTACTGCGACTGCCCCTCGGCTGTTCATTGCCTAATGGGCGCCCTGTTTGTGAAAGCGGGGGAGGGGACGAGAGGTTCACTTCTGTGCACAGAGAACCGTGATGGATGTGTCCCTAAAGCTTCCTGCAAGAAGCTCTGGGGGTGGGAGAGTTGGCTGAGACGATTCAGTGCGGGGAATCAAGCAGCGTCTTTATCTCTGATTAGCACCCGAGAGACACTAGAGGGTGCTGTGAACCCAGTAGTGTGTTTTTGAGTGGAGGAAGTGAGGAGGGCAGGAGAGAAGCAAATTCTTCGCTACTCACTTGGTCTCTCTCCCCTGGCCTGTCCCGGGGCCAGCACACCTCGTTTGGTTTATGGAAGACATTGGCTTGGAACGGTTTATAAGCCAAATGCAAATGTGTTTCACTGAATTTGTGTCTATTTTAGAACCAGACCAGCCTCACCTTGCTAATGACGGCGAAACCAAACGAGATGTGAATTTGAGATCAGATAAGCTTCTCAAATATTTGGGGCAAAGTCAATGCCCAGGTCTGGAATGGGTTATTTAAGGAAGGAAAATAACTATTAATAACTTGATTGGCAGCTGTGTCATTTGGCCTATATTTGTGCAGTGAATACTGCCTCACAGATCCGTGTGAGGGCGCCTTGTGGACAAGACCGTGCTTCCCTCTCCTCCTAGTTGGCTCCTTCAGAGGACAGTCACAGGGACTCGTTGGCACTGGGTCAGCGTCGGCTCGGCACCGCACCTGGGTCCTGTTCAGGAGCATCTGCCCTGTTCTCTCTTTACATTACCTGGCAGCGCCGTGCTGATTGGCTGGATCCACAGGGCCAGAAGAGAATCCAGCAGCAGCCGCAGCACACAAAGGCACCCAGAGTCCTCGCTGAGACACGTGGCACGTGGCGCGTCCCCAGAAACCACATGTGGTTTCCGTAACACCGCGGTGTAGTGACTAGTGACTTCTTTTTTCAACTTGATGAGGAAGTGTCTCCTTCCACATCAGACATTGTCATCACTCTTTCGAAGACGGAACTTTCGGTCTCCGTTAGAACTTAACCAAGTTGACATACATAAGTCAGTCAGATATCTGTGAGAGAATCTGTTATCAAACAGATAACATACTGATGGACCCCAGAGGAAATATCAAGGTTGGATTTAGAGTAGGACATTCAGATTGCTTTAAACGTTCTATTTTTGTTTCGATGGTGGTGGAAGGTAGGAAGGTGTGAAATGTTGAAATATTGGGGTTGGATTTCATTCATGAATATTAAAACCTGAAGTGGAACGTCTCTGATTCATGTGGCTTTGGTGAGGAGATCAGCAAAGATCATAACGTGCAGAGGGGCAACCCAGTGAAGGCACAGGCCTTTCTGAACCTGCATCAGCCCCCACCTGTTGCAGATGCCCAGGTGCTACCCCTGGGGTCCTCTGCCCCGCCCCCGCCCCCAGCTCCCCGGCCTTCAGGCGGTGCTGTGGTGTCGTTATTTCATGCTGTCTTGTCTTACTATGCCCCTCAGCCTTGAGTGATGTGGGAAGCCCTAGCAAGGGCCGCTGCAGGGTTTTGTGGGGAGCAGGAAGGCGGGAGGCAGTATGTTCTGGAAAGATCTGTGAGCTCCTATATGGGGTGTGCACCTGCTCAGGTCAGAGGAGCAGCTGCCAAGCTCATTTTTAACCTCATGGCACTTTGCTTAGCGCTGTGTGATCTTGGGCAAGCAACTTAATCCCATGAGTCCTGGCTCCGTGGCCGTTAAACTGGGTGAATAGTGACCACGCTGTCTGTTCTGTAGGGAGAGCTGGAAGTCAAGCTAATTAGTAACATGCCCTTGTTTGCTGTGCTCCTGTCTGTTCCAAGGCTACAGATAATCACTAAGCCAGCCCCCACCGTCGCTGAGGCAGGGTCCTGCTGCTAACCCCATGTTACAGCCAAAGGAAGAAGGAGTTAGGACACCCCGGTCCCCAGTTCTGACCTGCACCCTGTGGAGCACGGCTGGAATTGGATGGCCTTGGTGCAGCCTCTGGGCTCCTTCAGTGGGCAGCCCTGCTGTCTGTGACTGCAAGCCCTGTGTGTCAAGGGGATGTCACCCAGGGCACTGGGGAGCAGGCTGCCCTGCAGGGAGCTCAGCTGGTGCCTGCTGTGCTGTTAACAAGAGGCTAGTCTCATAGAGCCAGCGCTGTGAGCGTGGACTGGGTCACAGATGCAGAAGAACCTCAGAGTAGCTGAAGCACAGCCAAACATCGCTCTGGGGGTGTGCGGCTGTCCTGTAGACCTGTTCCCTGTGCAGGGTACAGCCCGGCTTCAGAAAGCACCAGAAGCCGAGCTGTACGAGGCTGCCCTGAGCCCAGCTGCGTACCCCGGTCACAGGTCCCTGTCATTGTCCCTGTCTGAGGGTGCTGGTTGCAGCCCAAAGTCTCTGTACCAATCCAGGTCCTCAGAGAAATGCACACATTCTAGGAGCTGGTTTGAGAGCGACACTGTGGAGTCCAGAGAGCCCCAAATCTGCAGGATGGGGCGGCATTGCTTCTTCCTTCCAGAACCTTGGAAACTTTATCTGAGTGTGTGTGGCAGAGGCTCTGTCGTGCCTGGAGTCTTGTCCACCAGACCTTCTGAGCAGTGCCTGGACTGGTGTTTAACCAGAGCTGGGCGCCATGGCCCAGCCAGGTTGACTCATGTGCAGTTAATTACTGTGGACTCTGGGCTCCATCCCTTTCTGTCCACCTGTCCTGTGCCACCCTGGCTTCTGCCCCTGCATGTGCTTTGTGCCCCTGGTGCAGACGGCCTTCCTCGGACTCTGGGGCCAATGTGGGGGCAGGGTGGGTACCTCGGAGTCCACGCTGCACATGTTTAGCAGTGGCCACACAGTGAGTCTCTGCTAAGGCTTTGGCTGCTGTCTAGCCTCATTGGACTGGGACTGGTGTCGGGCGTGGCTGCAGCGTAGCTCCCATGTCTGTTTCACTTTGGAGTCCCAGGGAGCAGAGAGTCCTAGTGGACCTCACTAGGGACAGTGTCCTCCTGGGATGATCCTGCGGCCCTGGGGCGTGGCTAAGTGTGGGTGGAGTTGAGGAGGGGGCACCTGAGCGGGTGCTCTGGAGAGAGGTGGACGTGGGTTGGGCTCCCCTGGCATCTCAGGGATGGGTGGCAAGTGTGGTGCCTAAGGCGTCTCTCGGACAGGGATGCGGCGCCCAGACCTAACACCGATTCTTCCCGACACGCTGTCAAGAGTCGCCGAGTTTGGGAACCTGATCCCAAGGTGTGTTGGTGCGACTCGGGCCGCCACTAACGTGTCCTCCCTGCTCTCGCCTTGTCCCCTGCAGAGGATGACGACCTGGAGAAGCTGGTGAATGACATGAACACATCCTTGGAGAGCCTGTACTCGGCCTGCAGCAACATGCAGTCGGACACGGTGCCCCTGCTGCAGAACGGCCAGCACACCCGCAGCCCGCCGCCTGCCGCGAGTGCCCGCCCCGCCCCGCCGCAGAAGGTGCAGCGCTCCCAGCCTGTGCACATCCTGGCCGTCAGGTGAGCCCGTGTCCTTCCGCAGAGATAGGCTTTGCTTCTGCTTGTCAGGTGGGGTCGGGAGGCATGGGTTGGCTGAGCAAAACACGGGGCTGATGGATTCCTTTTAGTGCCTCCTTGACTGCGGGGGCATGTGAGGACCCCCCCCCCCCATGGATAAACTCTACATGCATATTTCTCCTACACACACACACCTATGATAGTTTGTGAATTAGGCACAGCGGTAGAGTCATGTGCACAGGCACGCGCTATTGTGATGTCCGATTCACCACGCTCCCCTTCTTTTCGGGATGGCGCGATGGGACATTGTCCACACAATGAGGGTAACAGGTGGGTGACACAGGCGGTGACCACTGCTGATCTTTGGACAGTGTTCTGTGGGGAAGAGCCTCAGGCCCTGACCATGCCTGTGGACCACAGGTGACCGAGACCACTGAGTGTACGTGGGTCCAGCCTGGCAGGACTGGGTGAATGTGGGGCTCCGCACACTGCCGGCAGCTTTGAATGAGCGCCTGCTGTGTGCCGCTGCTCCTGGTGCAGAGGAAGCAGGAAAGGTGCCTGCACAGTGCAGGCAGTGCGGGCCTCGAGCCTGCATTCCCCATGGGGGTCTGGGACCAACAGCACCTGTGCCCCTGGGGCTTGTCAGAAACGCACAAGCCAGGCCACACTGTGTTCCCAAGAACACAGAGGCCTGAGCAAGGTGGCTGGCCGGAGACGGCTGTCCAGGAGGTCGCAATCTTGGGGCCCGGAGTGGGGCCTCTAAGGCCCCAGGGTGTCCTTCCCAAGGGCAGAATGGGGTCGGGGTCGGGGGAGTTTGGACAGGTTTGGGTCTTGGCAACGTCATTCTGGCTGCCTAGGGTCGGTGGAGGGCGGCAGGACAGAGGGCAGAGGGGTCCAAGCGTTTGCTGACCGGGAAGTCAGCTCACGGCTGGAGAGGGTGGCAGGCTGATGAGGACCCTGGGCGCGTGGTGGGCAGCAAGCGTGCAGATTGTGAGCACGTGGGTTCTGGTGGGGAGGAGACAGAGCGTGCAGGCCTACCCGGTTTTGTCTTGAGTGTCCAGGAGGACCGTGGCTGAGAGATAAGGAGGTAGCTGGGCAGAGGGGGACGCGGAGGGTGCCTTCCACATTCCATGGAGACCTTTGTGAACCCAGGCTGAGCAGTGAGGACAGCTGCTGGGGACTCTGCAGCCTTGCCTGTCCCAGGCACTCCCGATGGATTTCGGGCATAGAGACCCAGGAGGAAGGGCAAGGGTTGAGGTGAGGCTGAGCCCGCAAGTGGACTAACTCCGGAGGCTGTGAAGGCGGCCCTCTGCCCTGGGGTCTCAGCACTGTGTCTGCCAGGCACTCTGCTCCTTGTGCTAGGATCCTCCTGGCTTCCAGAAACTTCTAAGACATTTCTCTCTGGTCTGACACTTGGGGTTTTCTACAGCCCCCATGTTGGTCTTGCCCCGGGCCTCTGCCTCTCAGGTCTGCTGCCTTGTGTCCCATTGTGGGGGCAGCTGGGCCCCTCTGCCGGTGTTTGTCCAACTCGGTGTCCAGAACACCAGTCCCACCCGTAGCTGCTGTTGAGCAAAGCCTGCAGGCTTCCGAGCAGGGGGTGGACGCGCAGGGGGTGGACGCGCAGATGGGCCCAGGTGTAGCGCTGGTGCGGGCGGTGCCGCAATGCCGGGGTTGCTGAGCTGTGGTGTCAAGGACTATGGATTCATGAAACCCGCGGTTGCAGTGAGTTCAGGGTCAGCAGCCTTTCTCTGTGGACACAAGCGCGGGCTCATTTCACAATTCGGTGAGGCCGCTGGGGCGCTTGCTTCCTCGGTTAGATAAACGTTTGCTTCAGGGATGCTCCCAGACTTGTTCTCCGGAAACGTTCCTTTCCACAAACACCTGGCTGCACATCAGCTGTTCACCGAGATCCGCGGTGAGGTGTTTGGAGGAACCCCGCAGCCTCTGGGTGAGCCCTGAGGAGTCTGCGGTGCACCTGCGCGCCTGGGCAGGGGGTGGGGTGGGGGCTCTGTAGTGCGCATGCGCATGTGCGCCCCTTGGCCTCTGGTGAGTGCGTGCACAGGGCCCCGCCCCACGCTGGTTCATGGAGGAGTTGGTTCTTTCGCGTCTGAGCATGACAACTTGTCACGTTGCCCCTCAGTGTTTGGTCACGGTGAAGCACAGCTCCTGCATTTAGCGGTCTGGGTGTGCGGCCGAGGGGCAGTTATGTCCGCCCGTGGCTGCGCCCTCTCCTGAGCTTTGCCGCCCAGCGGCTGCCTCTCACCCCGTCCTGCAGCCCCCGTGGGTGCGCCTGGGCCCAGGCTTCTGGAGCTTGTGGAAGAGATGTGGCTTGGGACAGCCCTGGTTCGACTGCCTCCCAGCCCGCACGGCGCACCCAGGGTCCACCTGTGCTGCCTCCCGACGTCCCCGGGGCCCCACACGCAGCATGTGCTGGGTCGCCTCTGGCTCTCCGCCCCCGAGCACCCCCACGGAAGAGGGGGGCTGACCCCCGGGCCAGGGCAGCCCTAACCGCGCCCTTCTCGCACTCCCCAGCAGGCGCCTTCAGGATGAAGACCCGCAGTTCCGAACCTCTTCGCTGCCGGCCATCCCCAACCCCTTCCCAGAGCTCAGCGGCCCTGGGAGCTCCCCGGTGCTCCCGCCGGCCTCCCTGCCTCCGAGCCAGCCCGTGACAAAGCAGGTGAGTGTGCGTGGGGTGTGCACAGGCGCGTGGCTCACCTGGGGAGGCAGGAAGGGGCCGGGGCTCTTCTCCCGCTGCCGCCATTCTTGACGTCTCAGGAGCGGTTTGAACTCAGCGGACAGAATTCCACCTGAGGAATGCAATCGTGTGTCAAACGCGTTCCATAAATGTGCCACAAACACTGATGATGTGGTGCTTAAGGGCGGCTCTTAGTGCTTCCAGAGCCTTCTGGGAAATCAGCCTCAAGGCTCAAGTGCCTGGGCTCAGGCATCCTGACAAAGCTGTTTCCACCTCGTGGTCCTGACTCGGCACACCAGCCTTCCAAGGCCGGCGGCCTCCTCCTGACCAGAGGATGATGGCTGCATTTCTGAACTTGAGCTTGTGGTTTCGACGTTAGCCCTGTAGGGTCGGCTTGTTAGGGCACAGCAGGAGATGCTCACTAGCATCCTGGGTGGGAGTGCCCCCGAGTCCTGGCTCCTCCACTTCCGATCTGTCTTCGTGCTAATGCACCTAGGAAGGCAGAGGTAGTGGCCCAAGTGCTTGGGTGTCTGCCAGCCACACGGGAGACCAAGACGGAGCTCCTGGCTCCCGGCTCCTGGCTCCGAGTTCCACCTGGCCTAGCCCCAGCTGCCGTAGTCATAGGGAGTGAACCAGCGGATAGAAGATATCTTCTCTCTCTCTCACTCTGCCTTTCAAATAAATAAAACTTAAAAAGAAAAAAAAGTAGGACCTTCACTTAGATGCCACGTTAATGCAGCCATTCTCAGTATGTGAGGAAACTCAGTGGCCAGTCCAGTCAGAGAAATAGGCTTCTGCCTAGTTGATGGGGGCTGGGGCCGGGGTGGGTTCCAGGCCCTGCCAGGAGTACCCAGCCAGCCTTGCGGGGGGCAGGGCTGCTGATAATTACAGCAGCAGCAGCTGATTTTTTTTTTTTTTTGAGTATTTTTGTGTGCCAGGTATTACTGTGAGTGGTTAATATATTGATTGATTGATGCATCCACTTGCTATCCAGACCCACCCTAGGAATTAAGTCCACATGTTCTCTCTCCTGCAATCAAGGAGACTGAGCCCATGGAGGTGAGAGAGGTGGCTAGGACCCAGAGCCCAGGCTGCAGCCACCTTATTCGGGTTCCTGAGACCCTGGCCGTCTTCCAGACAGGCAGCACTGGAGGTCACCTGCCTTACCACGGTCTCTGCGTCCCGGGGCTCCCCACTGCCGCACTTTGCCGTCCTCAGGCACAACAGGCTGGCCACCCGCTGCACTCGCGTGTCCTGTCCGTCCCCTGCAGGTTCTGCGCCCTGGGCACACAGACAGCTCTTATAACGTGTGCTGCTGCCGCTGGCCCTGGCCTCCAGAGCCGGCTGGGTCACAGCGCCGTCAAAACTCGGGAGCGAGGTCAGTGGCCTCTGTCTGGGAGCCAGCACTGCCCTGGCTTTGGGCACTCGTCACATGCCCTGAGGTCCATCTGGGGTGTCTGCCTCCCGGGTGACGGCTGCCTCAAATAAGGACCCAGACAGACTGTCTATGGATTTGTAGCCGAGGTTGTTTACAGAGTAACCCATCCTAAAATAAGACCATGAAAATCTTAGCTGGCAGCTGGCAGGACAAGGGCCTGTGCCCCCTGGGCTGTCCGCGTCTGTGAGAATCAGGAAGACTGTGAACTGTGCCTGCTGCTGTTTCCGTGGGATCCCCAGGATCCCGCTGCTCTGGGGTCTTGGTTGTCGCCCAGAGTCCTCAGGCCACAGGGGAGGCGCAGGCAGAAAGGCTGAATCGCTTGGCTGCACTTAGAGAGAGCCAACTTGTTCTCTCTCTCGTTCTAACTGTCCGTGTGTATGAGGTACCGACTAACTCCGCACCACGTGTCCTCAGTGCGCGATGATGGCGCCGGGTTAGTTAGCATGTCCAGCTCCCTGCACGAAGTGGGGACGTCCCACCTGTGGGCAGCGTAGCGCCCAGGAAATCATTTGGCGTGGTCCTGTCCAGGTAGCCGCAGGCAAGATTTGAAATTCAGTAACTCTATAGCAGGCTAACTTTTAGTTTGACGATCTGTGTGGCTCATGAATGATATCCTAAATATCCAGAGGGGAAAAAAAGTTCCTAGCCCTGCCCTAGACACTTCTTAGAATCATCATTGTTTATCACTGTGTGGCTGTGCACATCATGGAGTAGAGTCGGAGAACACATTGAGTGTGCACAGCACACACTGGGCACGTCTCACTGTGCACACATGCACGCTCACACCTCACTGAGTGTGCATGCGTTAGTCACACCTCACTGCACAGCACACACTGCTCAAACAACACTGTGCACAACACTCACTGCTCACATGTCAGTGTGCACGACACGCGGCGTGTGCTGGTCACACCTCAGAGTGTACATAGCACACACTGGACACGTCTCACTGAGTGTGCTCAGTACACACCCGTCACAATCAGATAATGAACAGTCCCTTCCCCTGTGTTAAACACTGCACCCTCTGCATTCACGGAATATGCAGTGGCTCCTGGGGCCAGCCTCACCCTGCGCAGTGGCTCCTGGGGCCAGCCTCACCCTGCGCAGTGGCTCCTGGGGCCAGCCTCACCCTGCGCAGTGGCTCCTGTGGGCCAGCCTCACCCTGCGCAGTGGCTCCTGTGGCCTAGCCTCACCAGCACCCACTGATAACTGGACGCACTGCTTCCACATGGGCGTGATGTGTGCTGTTCCCCGGCTCCCTGTTTCCTCTGCCCCTTCCCAGCCTCGAGTGCTCGCACTTCTGTGTCAGAGCCTCGCTGAGCCTCTCCAGGGGGATGTTTGTCTGTCTGAGTCCCCCCTTCCTTTGGGCCTCGGACATAGTGTGGTCTGTTGGTGCTGCCAGCGCTGCACGTGAGCCCCTCAGCCGCCTGCCTTTGAGGTCTCTGAGTCAGGAGTCCTGGGGTGATGCTGTCGGGTAAGGTGTCTGTGTCCTGTTGTCACATGTCTGTGGGAAAGAGAAATGCGAGGTGCTGTCCCCTCTCTTAGAAGTGGGGACCAGGGTCTAGTCCAGAGTCTGAAAGGAGAAGGACCCAGCCAGCTGAGCCCAGGGGAAGGCACGGTGTAGTCTGGGAGGTGACTGGGGCCGGAGAGGCAGCAGCAGGCTCTTGTGTCCGTCCTGAGAGGTTTAGGGTAGAGAACCAGGGCAGGGGAGAGGGCAGAGGAGACCCCGGCTGTTATAGCCCAAGCACACGAGGCCTTCCTTAGCGACTACAAGACTGGCCTGCCTCCACTCTCCCTGGGTTTCCATTTCAGGTGGCCACTTAATGGGGCAGGAGTGGTCAGGTGTTGGTGGCCGGCGATGCCAGCATGCCAGGTCTAGAGAGTGATTGCTGTGGTGTGGACCTGGTGCTTGTCACAATGCACCTGCTCCTAGAATGGGACGGGGACACAGTGGGCTGCAGCCCTGGGGGTGGACACCGGCCCTGGGGACAGCCCCATGACTGCAGGCAATATGGTAGCAGAACTAAGTCTGAGGCAGGCTCAGAGCGACATTAGGTCTCCACTGTTGCGTGTACCCCTTGTGTGAGCTGAAGGCTGGGTTCCAGAGGGCGGTGGCTCCCGCACAGTCCCCCTCCTTGAGCTGCACGTGGTGGAGCAGCGTCCGGCTTCATCTGTGCCCTGGTGTCCAGGCCTCCCTTCTGTTACCACCCCCCCCACACACACACACACAACTGGGTCTTTCCCCTGCGTTTTCTAGAATTCCAGTTACTTTGGCCATTGTGAAAGTAAGAAAACTCAGGCCTGGTTAGTCTGGGGAGTGTTTCGCGTTCCCTCGCTGTTGTGGAAATGCACGTGTCCTGCGTGGTTTGGGAGGCTCTGAGAGCTGATGGACTCAGGTGTGCTCCCAGAGCCATGTCCAAGGCGCCTGTGCGCGGCGTGCGCCGTGGCCACACTGGGACTGTGAGTGCCCTCGCCGTGGCTTCAGGTTTCCCTGGCACTGCTCGGAGCCGCCGGGCGTCAGCCCCCGTAGCCAGGGAGTAGTCCTGGAGCTCCGACGTGATGTCCCCGTGTGTCTCTGTTGACCTCCCGGCGAGTGATGCAACCGTAGCCCAGTAGGCGTGACCTGGAACTGGCCACTGTGGGGCTAAGTATGAGACAGGAAATCGTCACTGGAATCTCATGTGAAATCCCAGCCTCCATTCGTTCTCTGGACTATAAATATCTTTTTACATGCGAAGTCTGTAAATCTGAGACGCTAGGACTGGGCCTTTGTTAGGGCTTCCAGCAGCTCCTGATCCTGAAAATGTGAACTCGAAGTCACCAGCGTGCTTTGCAGGAAGAATCCCCCTTCTCTGCCAGAAACGTGAGTCTGTGCCTTGGCCATATGTGGCTGTTTCGAGGGGTGTTTCAGAAAGACCAGTCTGCTTTGGTGCCCCCCAAAAAACAAAACAGCAGCAACAAAAAACCTTGGAACGCATACACACCCAGGACCTTCAGAAAGTTCATGGAAAATGCATATTATTGAAAACCTGGGCGTGAACTTCATCATGCGCAGGTTTTGCATCAGAATTGACGTGTGTTTTCATTCCATTTCCCAGGGGCTTTCTGAAGCCCCTCCGGTGGTGAGGGCCGAGCTGTAGTCAGAGGCGCCCTGCAATTAGCCTCGGTTTTCCCCAGGCGTGGGTGCACTTTTCAAAGAGGGCTGCATCTCTTGGGATGAACAAAAGTGATTTTCCCACTGCATTGACTTGCTAACTTTCGCTGGCGCTCTGACTTAGGTTCACTAGCAGGAGGGCAGGCACTGGTCAGAAATCCTTTCCCTGTTAACCAGTGTGGTGGCCTCTGTGATTAGAAACTCTTCTACGTGAGAGTGTTGGAACGGTGTTCAGCCTGGAGAGCGAACCCGTCACACCCACGGACTGTGGTTACTCGGGTGGGGTCTGCACAGTTGAATCTGCAAGACGGCAATGGAGCTTCCTGCGTGCAGAGCCGAGGTCCCTCCCCAGGAAGTGTGCCCCACACACAGAAGCATTCAAGATCCGGTGCA